GTCGCGTAGATTTCTCCTGTCGGGGACAGAGTTCTCGAGATCATGGTGATAGATCTACCATTTTGTGACAAAACAGCGCCTATGGCATGTGAAGAGGCGTCAGTTGTGAGGTCAAAGGGTTGTTTGTAGTCAGGGTGAAGGAGCAGTACGTCTTCTGATGCAAGAATTTTCTTAACTTTACCAAACGCGTTAAATGCTTCCTCGTCTAAAGTTATTTCTATTTTCCGAGATTGGTTAGCGCCGATATTCCCATTTTCTCCACGTAGGTATTTTGTTAGAGGTTTTGTATTCGCAGCATAGTCTTTTACGAATCGTCTGTAATAGCCAGCCAAACCCAAGAATGATCGTAAGGCTCTCAAGGATTTGGGGACAGCGAAGTCCAAAATGACCCTGACTTTATCGGGGCATGTCTTGATACCCTCTTTAGACACTGTAAAGCCCAGAAACTCGACACTGTTTTGAAAGAATTTCGACTTGTCGGCGGATACTCGCATATTAGCGGCGTAAAGTTTGTGTAGGACCTGGTTTATATCCTTTAAATGTTGCTCCGTGTTTTCTGAAAAAATTATGACATCATCTACATAGACGTGGCATATTTTACCGACTTCTTCTCTAAAAACGCATTTTTTAGGCCAAAGGGGAGCTTACAGAGCTCGTATTTGCCGTTTTTGACCGAGAATGCCGTTTTTTCTCGATCCCTTTCAGCTAGCTTAATTTGGTGGAAGCCGGACTTGAGGTACACTGTTGAGAAAAACTTGGCTTTTCCAATATTAGCCAAAATAACGGAAGTGTCTGGAATCGGATACTTGTCACTAACTGTTTTGTTGTTCAGTTTCTTAAAGTCTATCACGAGTCTGGATTTCCTATTACCGTCCTCATCGATGCCTTTTTTACTTACGACCCAAATTCGATTATTGTAAGGAGAGCGGAATGGTCTTATTATACCGTCACGCAAGAGATTCAAAATTTCCTTATTCACAGACTCGGCTGAAGCTATGAGGTATGGGTAGCTCCTTGAGTAAACTGGAAGGCCATCGGTGGTCCTTATTGTTCCTATAATATTGGTATTAGAAGGGTTTGGAGAGTCTGGGAGTCCATTGCCTTTGATTCAAACACTATCTTTATTTTTTTTTAAATTTCGAATGGTAATCTGGTTTTACACTTTATTGATATATATATTTAGCTGCTGACCTTTCTACTTACATGAATATTTCCATGTTAATATAAATGCTGGTTGTCCCCGTGTATCCTGATTGCTGTATTTTTGGTTATTAAAGCTGGCTGTCCCCAGTGCCTTCTTGATTGTTGTATATTTTGGTTATTAAAGTTGGTTGTCTCCCGTTGGCAACGCCTTCGGCGTGCAATGCTTCAAATATATTTCTTACTGTGTTCTTTTATTTATTTATAGTGGCACCTATATGGTTGCACTGGTGTTTCACTCAATGTTTTTTCACTTGAACTATTGTGGCACTTCTATGGTGGTACTTTTGTCTTGAATATTTTCACTTAGACTATTGGCACTGGTGGCGCTGGTGTCCTGAATATTTCACTTGGACTATTGGCACTTCCATGGTGGCACTTCTGCCTTGAATATTTTCACGTGGACTATTGGCACTTCTATGGGGACGCTGGTGTCCTGAATATTTTCACTTGGACTATTGGCACTGATGTCCTGAATATTTCACTTAGACTATTGGCACTTCTATGGTGGCACTGGTGTCCTGAGAGTTTTTGTCAGTTGTCAAAAAAATTGCGAAACAAGTTTTTTGCAACCGTCACAGTGGCGATAATGCAATCTTAAGCTTCCCGAAGCAACGACCATGCACAAAAGTAAATATTAGTGACGTTTAGAGAGGAAAAAAAGTTTTTTCTTACATTTTTTTCATATAATCGAATAAACTACAACTTTGTTGAGATAATATGGCTGGCTTACACGGAAAAAAATTTCTAAATGATTTTCGTATTTAAGTAATCCTTCTTGAAAGTCTAAACGACAAATTACTGCGAAGCAAGTTTTACATAAGTTTTTGATCTTTTAGAGGACTATTAGAAAAACTGTTTGGTAATTTTTATCGTTGGACGGCTATAAAGCATGTTGAATTTCATCAATACTGAGATATAATGAATTTGAATACAAGTAAGAAATTTAAAAAGCTATATAACTACCACTTTTATTAAAATACTTACATAAAAGCAGAAAAATACCTCCAAAATTATATAACTTTATGACTAATATTTACTAAAGTCTAAGGCATCTTAATCTCTCAATTTATTTACTGGCTAACAAACACTACTAATACGTTTATCTTTGCTCCTCAGATAACGTTACAATACAGCGCCAATAGCGCTGCGTGCATTTGCATTTCTGTTTAACTGTCGGCATAACCAAACATTGCCATTTTCATTATGTTCCTTTTTTATTTTGCTTTTTTATATATTTTGAAAACAGTTGTTTCGCGTTGTTGTTTAAGTGTCAATATTAGTACATTTAAAACTGTTCGCCACATAGCGATAAAACTTTTGTTTAAAAATTTCTTGAGTTTTAAAACTGTTTGTCTTTATTTTTTGCTCATAATCGTTTCCTTTATTATGATTGCTCATTTATTTATTTAATTATTCGTAAGGTTTTTTTTCGGAAACTAAGACTTTATTATGAAAAAATTTGTAATACATTTAATGTTTAAAGTATTGCCCATCGGAAGCTTCGATGTTTGCCCATCTTTCTGGCAGTTTTTGAATCCCACCCATTTAGAACTTCTCCGGGTATGNCGATGGCTTTCAGTAGCACTTTTCTTCATGTTAAAGTAATAAAGAAGAACTCCCGGCAAAAACATTTTACAAATTTCGACATTAAAATGAATGAAACAAATTGTAGTTCACGCTAAAACAAATGACATCTACTGAAGACTACGCGAAATGACAATACCTTTGAAATGAATATGGCTACAGATGAACACGACGCGAAATAATACTACTACAGCCCTCTCTAAGAAAACCGCACGAATTAATGCATACACCCAATACTTAATACTTTTTTTACTTAATCCTTATATTAAAATTTGATATTTTTTACTTATTCTTTATATAATATTGCTTGCTTCTACTATGACTTGTTCATTAAAGGAGAGTCTGAGCGCTGACTTTGCGTTAAGCTGACTCATCAAAAATTTGCTGGATCGACTCGGAGATTTTTTGACGAAACTAGTGATGGCAAAGGTGTACGGTGGTTTCATCTATCATGCAGATCCGACAATTCTAAATGCACAGAGAGAATGATTTTTTTGGTTAACGATTATCATCCTTTCATTCGAAACCAGTTTCTTAATATTATTGTGTATTATTGACTTTTGATAATTTGGTGAAATAAACAAATCACATTGAAACAAAAATTAAATTAGAATCACGGATGCTGTGGTACTATATTTATTGGCTGCTGAAGCAAATGTGAAAAAATGGCAACGAATTCTTACTCAACGTAGAACAATTGTAGACCAGGGAAAATATCCGCGTCGTTTGACAAGGTCTCCTGCTCCTACAATGCAGACAAATCAAGCTATATTAAAGATCCATGTGCTATAGATGAGCTTCTATCAGCTGTGCTAGCAACGGCACTGCACTGTACTCACTGTTTATGACCTAAAGAAACCAATAATACGATTATTAGTGAAAAGAAATCACTAATACGGTTATTTGTGTTAAATTTTTTTAATTCTTTCATTTTTTATAAAAACTCCCACACAACTTCTATGTAAAAAACTCTCGCGCAATATTGAAATAATCCAAATTTTTTTGCATTGGTGATGCCAACTTTTTCCTACGGAAATAAATTTACAATAGTTGATTTACTGGTGCATAAGTCACTGTATATATGTACATATGTATGTATAACTAAAATAAAAGAGGTAATACTTCCTTTCGTCGACTAGATAGACAGTAACAATTTTTTCTGAACTTTACTGAATCGTTCGTTCGTTGAACCAAAAACTCAATAAAATTAGTAAAGAGAGAGCGCAATTATGGCGTTTAGTTTGGAGAGAAAGTTGCGAATTCGTGCTGGTAAAATTTCAGAGAGGAAAAACTAGCACGTTTGCAAAACAGCTGTCACAGTGGCGATAATGCATTCTTAAGCTTCCGGAAGCGACGACCATGCACAGAATAGAATATTAGTTGCGTTTAGAAGGAAAAAAAGCTTTTTCTTACCATTTTTTCATATAATCGAATAATAGATGAGACTCACAAGGAAAAAAATTTCAAAATGATTTTCGTATTTAAGTAATCCTTCTTGAAAGTCTAAGCGACAAATTGTTGCGAAGCAAGTTTTACATATGTTTTTGACCTTTAAGAGGACTATTAGAAAAACTGTCTGGTATTTTTTATCGTTGAACGGCTATAAAGCATGTAGAATTTCATCATTACTAAAATATAATGAATTAGAATACAAGTAATAAATTTAAAAAGCTATATAACTACCACTTTTATTAAAATACTTACATAAGAGCAGAAAAATACTTCCAAAATTATATAACTTGATGACTAATATTTACTAAAGTGTAAGGCATCTTACTCTCTCAATTTATTTACTGGCTAACAAACACTACTAATACGTTTATCTATGCTCCTTCGATGACGTTACAATACAGCGTCGATTGCGCTGCGTGCATTTTCCTTTCTGTTTACACTGACGGCGTAACCAAATATTGTCATTTTCGTTTTGTTTCTTTTTTATTCTGCTTTTGGTTATATATTTTGTAAACAGTTGTTTCGGTTTGTTGGTTAAGTGTCAATATTAGTAGATTTAAAACTGTTCGCTACATAGCGTTAAAACTTTTGTTTAAAAATTTCTTGCGTTTTAAAACTGCTTGATTTATTTTTTGCTTATAATATCGTTTTCTTTATTTTTATTGTTCATTTATTTATTTAATTACTTTTTACTATTTTTACTTAATCCTTTAAATAATTATTTATATTTTTTATTTATTCTTTAAATAATATTTCTTGCTTTAACTATGATTTGTTCATTAAAGGTGAGTCTGAGCGTTATGTCGCTTGCCGGCTTTGCGATGAGCTGATTCATCAAAAATATACTGGATTGACTCGGAGAGTTGTAGACGAAACTAGTGTTGGCAAAGGAATACGGTGGTCGTATCTAACACGCAGATCCGCCAGTTCTAAATGCTCAGAGAGAATGATTTTTTTGGATAATGATTTCCTTTCCACCAGCTGCTTAATATTAATGTGTATTAATGACTTTCGATGATTTGGTGAAATAAACAATTGATATTAAAACAAAAATTGAATAAAAATCATGGTCGCTGTGGTACTATATCTATTGGCTGCTGAAGCAAATGTGAGAGAATGGCAACTAGTTCTTCTTCAACGTAAATCAATTCTTCTTCAACGTCGATCAATACTAAACCAGGGCAAATATCCACGTCGTTTGACAAGGTCTCCTGTTCCTTCAATCCCAACTTCCTCGCAAATAACCATACCACCGACTCGTTTATTCTTTTGGGAGAGGACAGTTCACGGCATGCATTTAAATTCCTCGGGCTATAGCCGGATGAGCTTCCATTAGTTGTGCTAGCAACGACACTGCACTCTACTCACCGCTTTTGACTTAAAGAAACTAATAATACGATTACTAGTGGGAAAAAATCATTAATACGGTAATTTGTGTTATATTTATTAAGTAATTTCATTTTTTATAAAAATTTCCACGCAACTTCTATGCAAAGAACTCTCGCGCAATATTGAAATAATCCAAATTTTTATTTGCATGCTAACTTTTTCCACCGGATATAAATTGACAATAGTTGTTTTACGGGTGCATAAGTCACTGTACATATGTACATATGTATGTATAACTAATATAAAAGAGATAATAGTTCTTTTGGTCGACTAGATGGACAGTAACGATTTTAACTGAACTTTACTGAACCTTTCGTTCGTTGAACCAAAAACTCAATAAAATTTGTAACGAGAGAGCGCAATTCTGGCGTTTAGTTTAGAGAGAAAGTTGCATATTCGTGCTGGTAAAATTTCAGCCAGTAAAATCTAGCACGTTTGAAAAACAGCTGATTTGTGATCACATGATTGAGTTTTTGTCAACAAAACGTAATTGATTTAAAAATAAAATAATATTAACACTTTAATATGAATTATATGCTCTCAGAATTACAACACAAATATAATTTTGCTTAAGTAAACTATTCAATCAAATAGCTAATGTACTCATTAGTAGAACTAGAACATATTATAATTTTTAAAGTAACGCATATTGGTTTTGGATTCTTATAATTCACTAGAAAGCAGTGACGACTAAATGAGTCACAAAAATTACGAAACAATTTTGTTGCAGCCGTCACAGTGGCGATAATGCATTCTTAAGCTTCCGGAAGCGACGACCACTCACAAAATAAAATATTAGTGGCGTTTAGAAGGAAAAACAGCATTTTCCTACATTTTTTCATATAATCGAATAAACTTTAACTTTGTTGAGATATAATGTAATCCTTCTTGAAAGTCTAAGCGACAAATTGTTGCAAAGCAAGTTTAGCATAGGTTTTCGACCTATAAGAAAATTTTTTTGGTATTTTTTTATCGTTGGACGGCTATAAGGCATGTAGAATTCCATCATTACTGAAATATAATAACTTTGAACACAAGCAATAGATTTAAAAAGCTATATAATACCGAATTTGTTAAAATACTAACATATGAGCAGAAGAAATACCTCCAAAATTATTTAACTTGTTGACTAATTTTAACTGAAGTGTAAGGCATCTTACTCTCACAATTTATTTACAGTTAATCACAATTCAATTATAGTAATAATCACTTGAATAAACTTTCACAATCTACTTTACTTAAATGTAATTTCCATCGTGTTTACTTTACGACTCAATATAAACAAATAGTTTATTCCGCAATACTCTACGTTGCTACCAACGAATTCACTTTGTCACTAACCTGACTTGGCAGCTGAGTGTCGCCCTCATATAGCGGTCGGCTGTTCGTAGACGAAAGTGCAGAATAATCGAGTTGTTCGCTATCAAAGGTTCTCTTGCAAGTTATCGGCTTCTCTCTTTCATCTGACTTTCACCTCGCATTTTCGCAACATTATGTAAACAGTTGTTTTGCGTTGTTTTTTAAAAGTCAATATTGGTACATTTAAAACTGTTCGCCACATAGCATTAAAACTTTTGTTTAAAAATGTCTTGAGTTTTACAACTGTTTGATTTAATTTTTTGCTTATAATATCGTTTTCTTTACTTTTATTGTTCATTTATTTATTTAATTGCTTTTTACTTCTATTTACTTAATCCTTAAATTAATAGTTGATATTTTTTACTTATTCTTTATATAATATTGCTTGCTTTTACTATGACTTGATCATTGAAGGTGAGTCTGAGCCCTATGTCGCTTGCTGGCTTTGCCTTAAGCTGATTCATCAAAAATATTGTGGCGAAAATGCGAGGCGAATGTCAGACGTAAGAGAGAAGCCGATAACTACTACATTCTATAACGATAACACGAGAACCTTCGATATCGAACAACTAGATTATTCTACACTTTCATTTACGAGCAGCCGACTGCTATATAAGGGCGACACTTAGCTGTCAAGGGAGTTAGTTACAAAGCGAACTCGTTGGCGACAACATCAGCACAGAGTCATAAAGTAAACGCTTTGGACGCTTTATAACGAAAGAAACTTAAAATTAAGTTGGCGATTTTTAATTTAACAAGCCAGAGATCGTACCCGAAGAATTCAGAAAATCATCGAGTTTGATTCAGAAAAATCGTAACAATATGCTGTATTGACTCGGAGAGTTGTTGACGAAACTAGTGAGGCCAAAGGTATACGGTTGTCGTATCTATCACTCAGATCCGCCAATTCTAAATGCACAGAGAAAATGATTTTCTTGGATAATGATTATCTTTCTCTTTTTCGAAACCAGCTTCCTTATATTATTGTGTATTAATGGCTTTTGATAATTTGGTGAAATAAACAATTGACATTGAAACAAAAATTAAATTTGAATCATAGATGCTGTGGTACTATATTTATTGGCTGCTGAAGCAAATATAAATAATGGCAATGAATTCTTACTCAACGTAGTTCAATTCTAGACCAGAGAAAATAACCACGTCGTTTGACAAGGTCTCCTGCTCCTACAATCCGAACAGTTCAGGCTATGCATTAAAATTGCTATAGATGAGCTTCCATCAGCTGTGCTAGCAACGGCACTGCATTTTGCACACTGTTTTTGCCCTACAGAAACCAATAATACGAATATTAGTGAAGAGAAATCATTAATACGATTACTTGTGTTATTTCTCTTAATAACTTTCATTTAAAAAAAAAAAAACTCCAGCACTACTTCTGTGTAAAAAAAACTTTCGCGCTATATTAAAATAATCCAAATTTTTTTTGCATGGTGATGCTAACTTTTTCCACCGGAAATAAATTTACAATAGTTGATTTACTGGCGCATAAGTTACTGTATGTATAACTAAAATAAAAGAGGTAATACTTCCTTTCGTCGACTAGATGGACAGTAAAACCTTTTACTGAACTTTATTGAATCGTTCGTTCGTTGAAAAACCAAAAACTCTATAAAATTAGTAACGAAAGAGCGCAATTCTGACGTTTAGCTTCGAGAGAAAGTTGTGAATTCGGCCAGTAAAAACTTACACGTTTGAAAAACAGCTGATATGTATGTGATCACATGATTGAATTTTTGTCAATGTTTAAGCGCGCGATAAACAAGACGCCTTCATAATATTTTGGACACACCCTAATGCGCCTTTGGCCTATATAAGCCGTGCTCGCCAAACAAACCAGTGAGATTTCATATCAATACTACGGCAAGCGCGCACGGGGCGACAACATTTAAAACTAAATTAAATTTATATATTTATATATGATATCCACATATTCATTTATGTTCATAAATCTTTTGTAAATTATATTATATAAACAAACATTTAGACAAAGTAACTTTGCACCCTAACAATAAAACCTTTATAAATTATTGTTAATTAAAATAAACATATGTTCCAATATATAAAAACGAATACGCGAGTGACTATTTATTTCGCAAGAACTCGAAGAAGGTACCTCGCGTGAACATGGTCCTTCGAGCCAACCTTGAATTGGCATCCTATTAAAGCAGTGTCACTAACTAACAAGCAAAACAATCAAAAAAAAAAAAAGGAAATTTAAGTTAAATAAAATATTGAAATGCTAAGTGACAAATAACTATTAAAAACAAACAAAGTGGCAGACTGCACTAACTAGTGAAAGACACACATAAGTATTGTACAACAAAAAAAAAAAAATATTAAAAAAAAGACGAAAAAAAAAAAATTCATATTCAAAAACTAGTACAAAAAACAAAATTTACAACTAAAGAGGAGCAGAAACTTGCAGCAAGAGGCTGCCACCACAACAACAACAAGAATAATCGATCACCCAGATGCAGGATTTGCTGGCGCCAAATATAGATCTGAAGGAACCTCAGCAAACAAAAGGGCAGTAAGATTGTTTTAAGAAAATATATACATGCGTGTATGTGCATACTTGTTGACAACTTATAGTCAAATCTGCAAGCATACTTTTACATATATGCAAAAGCAGAAAACCAAAAAATCTTCCCGCGATATTTTGGTATATTGAAGTTACTTGTATATGTACAGATATATGCCAGCAAATAACTTTGTTTTCTCAACAAAAGTATAAAACTGCAAATTATCAAAATATACTTGTTTATTTCCAATAACAAGAATCTCAGTAACGCGATCTTGAAGGTTGTTGACCTCAATTTCGAATTTTAATATTTGCAAATTAAGCATATGTACTTACATATATACATACATACATATCCAAGAGAATTTAATTAAAAGTGTTCTGAAGTTCACTTACCAAAAACATTGGCACTCTCCCATGTAATTTCTCTTTTTTGTATTTCAACAAAAAAAACATTTGTACTAGAAAGTTGGTATTCTCAAAAAATAGTGCATCCACTCCCGCGATCACTTTGCTAACATATGTACATACTTATAATACAATTTTGGCGACAATCTCTTTATTTTTTTTTATTTAAAGAGTAGTATAAACTAGTGCTCTGCTTTTCTATTTCCTTTTCTGCTTTCTCAAGCGCAGCTTCAGCATAACAGCGAACACTCAACCGCACATACAGTGCAGCCACTCAGTGCATTAAAATATTAGTTGATCTAACTCGCTCTCAGTTCAGCTGAAACATTACATTACAAGCATATGCACAAATATTCATACATACAAAGTGCATCCCAACCCAGCAGTAAACACTTCTGGGTCACTTTATATTCAAGTGGTCCTAAACTACACCCGATTTCCTGCAACACTAGTTCCCCGAGTCTAAGTGCAGACTTGTTTAAAAACAATAAATTTTANGAATTTTTGTCAATGTTTAAGCGCGCGATAAACAAGACGCCTTCATAATATTTTGGACACACCCTAATGCGCCTTTGGCCTATATAAGCCGTGCTCGCCAAACAAACCAGTGAGATTTCATATCAATACTACGGCAAGCGCGCACGGGGCGACAACATTTAAAACTAAATTAAATTTATATATTTATATATGATATCCACATATTCATTTATGTTCATAAATCTTTTGTAAATTATATTATATAAACAAACATTTAGACAAAGTAACTTTGCACCCTAACAATAAAACCTTTATAAATTATTGTTAATTAAAATAAACATATGTTCCAATATATAAAAACGAATACGCGAGTGACTATTTATTTCGCAAGAACTCGAAGAACGTACCTCGCGTGAACAGTCAACAAAACGTAATTAATTTTAAATTAAAATAATATTTACACCTTAACATGAATGATATGCTATCAAAATAAGAACACAAATTCAATTTCACTAAAGTAAACTATTCGACCAAATAGCTAAGGTACTCATTAAATGAGAATGCGGTGGCAGCGGAATAGATGATTTAGATGTTAGGAATGTTGATGACGTAGAACTAGAACATTTTATTATTTTTTGTGTAACGCAAATTATTTTTGGATTCCAATAATTTACTAGAAAGCAGTGTCGACCAAATGAGTCACAAACATTGCGAAACAAGTTTTTTTGCAACCGTCACAGTGGCGATAATGCATTCCTAAGCTTCCGGAAGCAACGACCTTGCACAAAATAAAATTTTAGTGGCGCTTAGAAGGAAAAAAGTTTTTTCTCACATTTTTTCCATATAGTCGAATAAACTATAACTTTGTTGAGATAATATGGCTGGCTTTTATGGAAAAAAGTTTCTAAATGATTTTCGTATTTAAGTAATCTTTCTTAAAAGTCTAAACGACAAATTGTTGCGAAGCAAGTTTGACATAAGTTTTTGACTTTTCAGAGGACTATAACAGAATTTTTTTGCTGTTTTTGTATCGTTGGACGGCTATAAAGCATGTAGAATTCCATCATTACTGAAATATAATAACTTTGAATACAAGTATAAGATTTAAAAAGCTTTATAAATACCACTTTTGTTGAAATACTAACATAAGAGCAGAAAAAATACCTCCAAATTATATAACTTGTTGACTTATTTTTACTAAAGTGTAAGGCATCTTACTCTCACAATATATTTACTGGCTAACAAACACTGCTAATACGTTTATCTTTGCTCCTCAGATGACGTTACAATACAGCGTCGATTGCGCTGCGTGCATTTGCTTTTCTGTTTACACTGACGGCATAACCAAATATTGTCATTTTCGTTTTGTTTCTTTTTTATTTTGCTTTTGGTTATATATTTTGTAAACATTTATTTCGGTTTGTTGTATAACAGGCCTATTCTGTCGAGGTAACAAAATTTACCTAGGTTTTAAAATTTACCATTCTGTAAGTTTTGTTATCATTTCGTACTCTGAGCTCACTGTTACCCTGTAAATTTTGTAACCAACGAAATAGGAGGTAACAAACAATCAGCTGTTCGATTTTGTGTTGACAATTTGTAAAAAAAAATAAAAAACCAGAATTTATAGACATATTTTACGTTTAGAATTAATTGAAGATGAAGAAAAAAGTGCAAGAAAACGTATGTTAAGAAGTCTGAGAGAAAAAAATGACCTGAATAATTTGGAAGACAGCGTTTTCATTCAGCATTTTCGCCTGAACAAACCAGTTTTTTGGGATCTTATGAACGAATTAGCACCATATGACAAGTGAGTAAATGTTCATTTTTGTTCATAATTTTTAAATATTTTTTTTTTTTTTTTTAGACAGAAGACATCCTTGCCGTTTTATTTGAGGTTTCTCTCAACAATATATTTTTTTCCCACGGGTCGTATCAGAAATGCTTGGGGAGCAATTGTCTAACTGCGATGAGCCAGTCTTCAGTTTCGCGAACACTGCATTATATTTCAGATTTGATTGTCAAAGTCAGAACTGGAGAAATTTGCTTCCCAACAACAAGTGACATGTAAGCACAAAAAAAGAGGGTGAAAACAACTTTTTGAAACAGTTAATTAAGATATGAATACAATTTTTTGCAGTTTTTATTTGAAGTTTGGAATAAAAGGCGTCATTGGTGCAATTGACTGCACACACATTGGCATTATAGCACCTACAAGCAACGACCCTACAAATCCAGCAAGCCTGTATATAAACCGGAAACGTAATTACAGCGTCAATGTAGAGGCAGTGTGTGACGCAAGCATGAATTTTTTGTCAATAAACGCCAACTTTCCTGGGTCTTATCATGACTCGGGGATATGGACGACATCCATGATTAGAAGCCTCTTAATGGATCAACGTGGGTGTTGGCTCTTAGGCGACCAATTCTATCCTCTGGCTACTTACCCCAGTTTCAGAACCAACAAGCAAGCTTGAGGAAAATTACAATAGAGTACACTGTGCAGCACGCAATGTAATTTAACGTACTTTTGGTATATTGAAATCAAGATTTCGATGTCTCTCAAAGCACCGCATTTTAAACTATAGTCACAAAACAGTAGTATCTATCGTCAATTCATGTGCAATACTCCATAATATTGTTGCGAAAACGCGAGGCGAATGTCAGATGAAAGAGAGAAGCCGATAACTAGTACATTCTAGAAACGATAAAACAAGAACCTTCCATAGCGAACAATTCGATGCTTCTACGCTTTCGTCTGCGAGCAGCCGACTGCTATATAAGCGCGACACTCAGCTGCAAGTAAGTTAGTGATAAAGTGAACTCGTTGGTGTTAACATCAGTAAAGTCGGAAAGTAAACGCTTTGGAGACTACATTTAAGTACAGTAAATTGTGAAAGTTGATGCTAGTGATTGTAAATAGTAAAGTGCATTATAATTGAATTGTGAATTACTGAGAAAATTAAGGACATTAGATTAATTCTTTATAACAATCCAGAGATCGTACCCGAAGGATTCAGAAAATAATCGAGGTTGATTTAGTAAAATCGTAACAATTGGTGTCAGAAGTGGGATTGTTTAATAAATCCTAAAGGATAATATTTGCAGAATGGTAAAGATTCAGGATTTAACGATACCTCCCCTCAAGAGGGAGTTGGCAAAGCGAGGATTGTCGACATCTGGAAATAAGGCAGAGCTGCAAACGATATTGCGAGAAGCAATGGAATTTGAAGGCATCGACTTGAACCAGTACGAGTTCCATCGCGAGGATGAAGATGTATCCTTGAAAGACATTGACAAGAAAGAGGCTGATGGTTCTGTGAAAGAGTTGGAGTCACCATCAAGTCAGATTCAAGAAGAGGCTCCTGGTTCATCTAAGGGCATTGACATGAACATGTTATTGACTGCGATCTCACAAAATATGTCTGAAATGAGAGCCAGCATTTCACAAAAGTTGGATGCACAGGACACAAAAATGAACGCCAG